AAGTGACAGAAGGTTGTGCTTTAAGACCGATAACATAGAAAAGCACTTAGTTGTAGCTATAAATGAAAAAATATTACATAGTAACAATGCTTAAGTTAACTGTTAATACCATTATTATTATTAATTATTACTAGTACTTCATTGTGGCATTTTATATGTGTCATATAATATAATGTGTTATATAATATAAATTATTTAATACATTGTTTAATATACGCAGTAAACATATTTATTTAATTTACATTTATGTGTAGGCATGTACAAGTATATGCACGATAAGGCACTTGCCTATAGTTATAGGCGGCTGCCTATATCACAATATGTCTGCCTTTTTAAAAAAAAATCCTTGCCTATATAGGCGCCTTTTTCTTCAAATTTTCTTGCCTTTAAAGCCGAGCTTTAGTAATAACGTTAGAAGATTAGAATTATGTCCCATGGAAAATGGGAATACGTTTGAACTTTGTTTCAATATTACTTTTAAGTGAAATATTTTCCGCGGCTTAAGAGTACAAATTCAATTTAATTATAATAATTGCTTTTAAATGACGTCGTGTATTTAAGTTAAAAATTTAATTATATATATAAATTTACTTTGGTTGCGTTCCTCCTAGTCAATGTAGATCATAGTAACAGACATAGTTTGGCGACAACCACAACACTTTTATATGAACATTTTCCAGTCGCTATTTCGGTACAATTTAAGAGGAGCTTTGCTTACTCACCCTGTATATACATATATATATATATATTTTACTTCGGTGTTTTAGCTCGGTGATATATATTTCCGTCTAAGTTTAATCGTCTCCAAAAAGCAAGAAAGGAAAATAGTATAAAGTATTTTTTTTGTTTCATTCACAAATTTATCAATTTTTAAACTAAATATCTGTATGAAAATTACATATAGGTATAACTTTTCCTTCTACTCACACCAGACTTTTCAATCAGTATCTGGTAAATGGTCTACTTTTTTCATTTAATTCTATCTTTTCTTCGTATTAATATTTAAATAATCGCTTTGTATCTATAAAAACGGAATTTCTCATACAAGCTATATTGTTATTGCTATGAAGTAGAACTCGCTGCATGGCGAAGTAGAAAGTCGCGTAAAATTTCGATAGCGGCAAAACAACGGATACTTCCCTCCTACTTAATAACGTATTCGGCTCTGGAAGCCGACAGGAAATGCAGCAAAATATCCAGTTAAATCACTGCTTTATTTTAGCTGAAATTTTTTTTTATGTCAGCCGCCACTGAAAAGGAATTGAGGCAAATAAATAATGTACTTTTATTTTGTAACCACACTAGAAAATCGCTAAGATTGCGAGGCATTTTCCAAGCCCAGTGTAGGTCTGAATACCGAATTAAAATAAGATTTTTAAATCATTAAAGAGATTTATAAAATTTAATGAAAGCATTTACAGCAAACACAGTTGGATAACGTTTCTTGACATAATTGAAAAATTAAATCACAAGGCCAGTGGCTTCGCTCTAATCGATTTATTGTATGTAAATCGTATATTTTTCCTAACCGACAACTGTTTTAAATTTGTTTTCATTGTATTAAATTCCATGAATAAAACCATACCTTTTCCGTCAAAGTTCAAAAAAATTTGCCTTTTAAACATTTTATAAAGCACAGAAATTTCCTTTTGTTTTCGCCATTTCGAGGTAATTCTTAATTCAGTGTAGTGAAGTTATAATTTGCAGTGGGTGAGCAGTTTGCTTTTGTATAGATTTATTGAAGTGTCCAATAATAATATCCACATAGAATATCTACTAGCTTATTAACAAGTAATTGTAATTATATAGTAAAATAATTACAATCCTCACTAATAAGGGCTAACAAGCGGAAATAATCCACATAATAAACAACATGAGAGCAAAACTGAGTATAGAGCAAACCGGTTCAAAGCAATTAAATGAATATGTTTTCGGATTTTAGAATCCAACAGTGTCCTAACGTTTAGAAGTGCAGAATCGAAAAAGTGCACTCCATAAAGAAAATATCTTCTATTATTACTTAATATTTAAGGAACTGTGTATATTACAAAAAATAGATATGCACCTTATTGATTGATTACAAAAATTAAAACTATTATAAAATGTTATTATGGAAAATGTGTTTAAAATAAATTCAATATTACAAGGCTGATTTAATGTTTTTATTTCGTGTATAGCTAAAATCATGCCAGCCCAAGATATGATTCTGGTGAAGGAAGATGTTGTCATTTCGGGTATAGGTGGATATTTTCCAGAGTCGATAAATATTGAACAGTTTCAAAAGAACCTTCTGGACAATAAGGATTTGGTTGGCACGCGTTGGAGGCAAGGTAGACTTTCCAAATCAAGAACTACTTTTATGCTTTATTATTTATTAATTTAACAAAATATTTCTCAATCGCCTTTTATAAATCCACCCACTAATTTTAAGCATTATGTTAAGGTGAAAGAGGAGTAAGCAACAAAGTGGGAACTGTGTCCACTCAATATTTTGATAATGCCTATTTCGGAATCCATCGACAACAATGTACTTTCATGGATCCCATGCAACGTTTGGTGCTGGAACGTACATTCGAAGCCCTTATAGATGCGGGTATGTTAACTGAAATTATTTAGATATCAGGGGTTTTAAATGTACAACCTTATCCAAGATTAAGTCGCAAGCAATTTTCGCAAGCGCCCAAATGGAACTCATACAATTCGTCAATTTAAAAAAATGTTCTTTCGTTCAACTTTGATGCAAGCTTGCTTGAAATTGCATATATCTAACAGTAGCAAATGTAAGGAAAACGATTTTTTTTTGCAACAAACGTGATTACTTTTACCTGATGATGATTCAAGACCGAAATGGGGATATAAAGTAACAGATTGAAACTTTGACTGAAAACCAGGGGATTGTTAACAAAATTGAATAATACAATATTGGACGCTTACAATGTTTGTGACAATTTATTATAAATTTGTGTAACCGAAAAGAAATTATAGTCTCGTAAAATTAAAACTACGAAAAAATCAGTGCGTCTAAATGAAAAGAATTATTTAAATTTTCCGACTTTGCTGGAATTAGCTTTCGAGCAGGTCTGTTTGAGAAAGAAATATGAGCGAATTCGCAAAGTTTCGTTTTTTTGAAGTTTAGTATTTCTGAAGCAAATATTTTTCGGTTGTTTCGAAATTTCATTCCTTTCACAAGGAGAAAGCAATTCCAAAAGTTTTATATTTTGTTTTTATATATTTTAACAATTCGCAGTTTTAAATACATTTCTTGAATTTTCAAATATTTTCTTTAGGTGTGAACCCGACCGAAGTCAAAGGAAAAAGGATTGGAGTGTTTATGGGATCGGCAATAGGTGAAAATGATAATCTGTTTCTGGAGTCCATCGTGTCAGGATTTGGAGTCACTGGACACTCCAGAGCTATGATGCCCAACAGGGTATCATATTGGCTAAATTTGAAAGGTAGGTACGCTTAAATGTTTAAGGTGTTAAATAATTCAAGTCAAAACACTGTTTAAAACAGTTATTGCTCTTTTATCCATTAAATAATATAGGATTAATTATTACGTCAACCTAAAAAGTAAATGAAGGGGATTGAAAGTAGTTGCTAACTAACAATTGAGAAAACCGACGTAGAATCTTTCCGATCCTACCTAAATTTAAACAGGTTTAAGATACGCAAATTTATACGGTATTGGAAATGGGAAAGGTTCCAGTTCGGTTTCCTCAAGTGTAAAAGTTATTAGCACTCAATATATAATTCATTGGAATGGTACCTACTTCAAACTAGAGTTGAAACTAGTGTGCTAAACGGTTATTTTCCCGTAACTGGTTACAATGTTATAGTTCCCCTTTGGTATTAGGTTCCAAAAGTAACATGTAGTAACATGTTTAAATTTTTCATTAAAATTTCGCACTGATGATGATGGTAGAAATAGTGATACAGTTTATTTAAAAAAATTATTCTTAACACTGTTAAACTAAAAATAATATATTCTAAAAACAAAAACAATGCAAGGAACAAGTAACTAAGTAAAGAAGAAAAAACTGATAACAAAATAAAACGGATTAATTAAAATTACGCTTCCAAAGCAATACACCGAATATTCAATAATACAGAGTGTTATGTAAATGAATTTAAAAAAGATCAACTGGTAAAAAGTCTGCTAATTCCTAATGCTGGACGAATTTCATCAAATGATGAAAATTGGTTTTTAAATAAAATATAAAACAATAAGAATATTTAAGATGAAAAAAAGGTAAAGATCTGGCGGCGAAAATAAAGCAAATAGTCAAGCAATAGTAATTGATTAGATTATTCTATTGAATTTAATTAACTATTTGATGATTATTTAGAAACAACCATGCTCGTATCAATCGGCACGATTTTTGAGCTGTTTTAACAAAAAAATTTACAATTTTGCCGAAGCTTTTTCAAATACTACATTCGCTCTCTATTAAACAGCTTTATAAACTGGAAGTTCTATGAGCTTCACGATAAAAAATACAATAGCCTGAAAATCTCTCTAGAATTAATAACCTTCTGATAAAGTCTATTAACACAAAGACATTCGTTTAGACGCTCATCACGATCAGAAAACATCTAATATTTTTTGTTTTTCTAACTAGTTTTGAGATCGAAACAGTTGAACTTTGAGATACACTTACATTTTCAGTTTTGATTGTAAGTTTTTAAAGGTTAAGACATATTTCTAACAGCACCTCATTAGCAAAATAAAATGTTCGAGATGTTCAAACAAAAATTTCTTAATAATTATTCCGATATTTTTATCGATTCCTAATAAAAAATCTAAATCTTACGGCTCTGGTAATAATTTGATCTGATACTAGGAGACGAACATATTTAGCTAAACTGCAGTTGTAAAACCAATCCAATTTTTTAAAAATATTATGGAAAATTAAATTACGGCATTCAGGTAAAGTTACAAACTTGGTAAAATTCGCGGGTTTCTTAAAACTTTGTACTTGTCAGTGTATTTTATTGATTCGGATTTAGCAGATATTTATTATGCGACTAACCAACATAGAAAAAGAATAAATTGTATTGATAGGTTTGAAACCACAAGCAAAACATCAGATAACATTAACTAATTGCAATCCCGAAACGCAAAATTAAGAATTCCATTTGGCCCATTGAACTAGAGGAACAAGCACAAGAGGCTAATATTTAACTACTGAGAATAATTATTTAGTCCATCAACGAACTGCTAACAACGTCAAAAATCTTTCAGTATTTTGGATAATTTTTTAATCTTTATGCCATTGTTAGTTAGGCTTAACTACTTACTTACTTTCTGATACTGTTATTTTAGGTCCTAGTGTAGCGTATGATGCCAACTGGATCAGTGGAATCGAAGTGATTCGTTTAGCTTATGATGCCATTAGAACTGGCCAATGTGAATCAGTTATCGTTGGAACTGCTAATTTAGCCCTAAATGCCGAATTTCAATGGCTATATTCGGACATGGGCCTTTTGTCACCAGACGGAAGCACCAAAGCATTCGATGTCGACGGTAATATAAAATTTAACTAAGCTACATTGAAGCTGAAAACCTTCATTATAAATTAACGAAATTTTAGCCAAAGGCTATACTCGATCGGACGGGGTAGTTGTCCTCTATATTCAGAAGGCTTCTGACGCGAGACGGTCTTATGCAAGCATAGTTAATGTTGAAACATTATTTGACGGTAATCGTGAAGGAAACATACAAAATCTTTCGGTTCCGAACATGGTGGATTTTATCTCAAAGTTCTATGAAAAAATAGATGTAAAGCCGGAAGAAGTTGAATTTGTAGAAACCTATGGATGCGGCCATAAAGTAAGTGATCAGCCAACGGCAATTTATGCAAGTACAAGAGGCAAGTTAACATACGCTTACAGGTCACAGACGAAAAGGAGCTGGATGCTCTGGAAAGAGCATATTGCAAGAAGAGGAACAATCCGCTTTTAATTGGATCAGTGAAGACCAACACTGGACACAGTGAGGCTTCAGCTGCCATGTTTTCCATTGCTAAGGTTCTAATTGCCATGGAACAAGGCATAATTCCAGCAACGATTCAGTTCGAAAATGCGAATCCTAATATCAAAGGACTTTTGAATGGAAATTTGCAGGTTGTTTCCAAAAACAGGTAAATTTCGTTGTTATTAATTGTGGCATTTGTTGATTGATTCATCTTGACTGATACAGACAGTGGAATCCAAAATATGCGGCCGTTAATGCTTTGGGATTAAACTCGTATTATGGACATTTGTTGCTTAAGGCCAATCCACAAAATAAGCGCAGTATATCCGAAGATATTCCCAAATTAGTAGTTGCATCCACGAGGACTGAAGATGGAATCAAGGACATTTTGCAGCAGGTATATATACATGTTTTATGAAGTTGAAACCTTTTTAAAATATTAAATAATTTTTGATAATTGTCTTATTCTTTTAAAATAAATGAACATCTTCTGTATTTAGTTTCTTCGGATCTTTCACAAAGACAGCAAATTCCAACCACAGCGAATGCCGTTAGAATTGAAGACACTAAAAATGTATTCCTCTTTTTTCCAGGTCTTTAACACTACAGGAATAAAAGGTCTAATAATAGATAGGAATATATCTTATGTTCTTGTTTATCCCCCTCCTTCAGCATCAGTAGGTGTTAAAGATTTCTACAGCTCTCTTTGAATGTTTTATAAGCAAATTAATTCCTATTGTTGCTAAATGAAATCATCGGAACAATTTCATTAATGTTACTTTCTATTTTATTTTTGATTGTGAATGAAACAGTAATAGCGTTAGCGTTCATTCTTCACCTTGAGTCCCTTTTAAAGTCATTATTATTACTGAATTTTTATTTTGTTTGTTATTACAATATTTGGCCATTTATTTATATGCTTTTTAAATACCCTACGTCATCATAATTATAATAATTATAATTAAATTAACATTTTCTTTGGCCATTCTAAGAACGCTACAACATCTTTGCTTTTTTTTTTGAGAGGTTGGGAATTTCCATATTCTAACATATTTTTAATACATTTCCAGTTCAAAGATAAAAGTACTGATGTGGAGTTCATCCAACTTTCTCAAGACTTGTTTGCAATGCCGATTTTGGGCCATCTTTATCGCGGATATACATTGGTGGGAGCCGACGAACCGAAACATGAGGTTGAAGTAAGTATGTGTATTTTTTGTTTGAGATCTGTAAATTAAATAATCGTTTTCATCTTGATTCATGAAGCAACCGAATGTTTGTTGAATTTAAGGGTGCGTCATATTGGTATATTTTGTTTTTGTAGATTCCCGACTTTGATCTATTGTGTTTCTTATAAAATTAATTCTACTAATGACACACGACCAGATTTGGACTTTGCAAAGCTTCAATTTATGATCAATAATCGAAAAATGTTGGTAGACTAGATCTAGAGACATAATTTTACTGATGAAAAATATTTATTAAATCGGCAGAAGCGCCTTATGAACACTTAATTTCGATTTTCAATTTAAGATAGGAAATCAATTAAAAATGCTTTTACAAATCACAGATTTTCAACTTATTGTGTTGTTAGAACTATGGCTCTAAAAACAAAATTTTCCTCGTTCAAACTTTGAACAGAAATCTTGGAAATTAAACGAAAAATGCTTTTCAATTCTAACCAAACCTTTTTATATTTACATTATTTATTTTATTATTAGATATTTTGCCTGTAGTTTGAAGTCTCTAAAAATCTTAGAATCGAATATCTTTACCCGTTTTTTTACAATTTAATTATGATTTTTTCTTCCATAAAAAGTAAATTTTCTCATCAAAACCTATAATGAAAACAATCAATAATGAACAACAAAAATCACCTTGTGCGGATCCACGACACAGCCGTGCTTAAAATGTATGCGAAAATTTCAATTAGTAAGTAGAATTGTCTAGTGAGAAATGTTGAGCTTTACAATAAAATATATCTAAAAAAGGAGTATTATAAGAAACTATTATTAGATTCTTATCTTTCCTGGCTCTCAGTCAAAGTGTGAAGTAAAACGAGTATCGTTTATTTCATTACGTTTCGGCGGGACAACAGCGCCATCATCAGATTTAAAATTTACACAAACTACAAACACCAATTCACAATTAAAACATGTTGTATAAAAACTATAATTTATAATGCGTTAAAACATTCACCAGTTCTTGAGGGAAAAAATCCTTCCTTTAGGGAGAGCAAAACATTTGAAAAACTTACCTCATAATTGGTAAACCTTACGTTCTTTTAGGTCTTTGCCTTCTTGAAACCTTAAATTTGTCTGAATTTTCAAGACATTTGACAAGAAACTGTGAAACTAAATTTTTTTGTATATTGTTTATTTCGTTACGTTTCGGCGAGACATCAGCGCCATCATCAGATTTTAAAATTCATTCAAACTACTAACACCAATTTACAATTAAAATATGTTGTACAAACACTATAATTTATAAAGTGTGAAAATATTCATTAGTTCTTGAGGAAAAATAAACTTTCCTTTCGGGAGAGTAAAACATTTGAAAAACTTGCCTCATAATTTGTAAACATTATATTCATTTAGATTTAGATTCCTGTCTATAATAATTCAAAGAAATTGAAGGTTTCAAGACAGCAAAGACCTAAATGAATATAATGTTTACCAATTATGAGGTAAGTTTTTCAAATGGTTTGCTTGTTAGTAGTTTGAATGAATTTTAAAATCTGATGATGGCGCTGATGTCTCGCCGAAACGTAACGAAATGAACAATATACAAAAAAATTTAGTTTCACTGTTTCTTGTCAAATGTCTTGAAAATTCAGAAAAATTTAAGGTTTCAAGAAGGCAAAGACCTAAAAGAACGTAAGGTTTACCAATTATGAGGTAAGTTTTTCAAATGTTTTGCTCTCCCAAAAGGAAGGATTTTTTCCCTCAAGAACTGGTGAATGTTTTAACGCATTATAAATTATAGTTTTTATACAACATGTTTTAATTGTGAATTGGTGTTTGTAGTTTGTGTAAATTTTAAATCTGATGATGGCGCTGTTGTCCCGCCGAAACGTAATGAAATAAACGATACTCGTTTTACTACGTTTTACGGAATAGAAATGTTTGTAATGGGTTATATTCATTATTTCGTTTAAAAAAGTTGTTAGTAGAAGAATTTTGAGAATTTCAAACTTTTTTAACGAACAAAATAACAATAACATACAAATAAAGCTTTGTGAATATTTCAGAACTGCTTGTTTTCTACATTAATATATATTTATCTTGCAGGCTATACTTTACATCTTGGTAATTTAATTATATTTAATATTCCAGTATCACCAAGGAACAAAGCGGCCCATTTGGTTTGTGTTCTCTGGAATGGGATCTCAATGGTGCGGTATGGTAGGTGACTTGATGAAATTTCCTACCTTTGCTGCTGCAATTGATAAATGCCACAATATTCTGCAAACTAAAGGCATCGACTTGAAGCACATTATTTCAACATCAGACAAAACTGTATTTGACAATATTCTGCATTCATTTGTGGGGATCGCTGCCATTCAGGTAAACTCATTTCTCGATAGAAAAACAATTTTTTAAACTCTAACGCACCTTCAGATTGGACTAACTGATATCCTCAAAGCTGTGGGTATAGTACCAGATGGAATTATTGGACACTCAGTAGGAGAACTGGGTTGTGCTTATGCTGATGGATGTGTTACTGCCGAAGAAATGATTTTAGCGGCGTATTCAAGAGGAAGAGCTTCGCTTGAGGCCAAGTTAATTCCTGGAATGATGGCTGCTATTGGTAAGAAAATTTACATTTTTTCTTGCTCAGGAACTATGGAATGTTTGAATTTCGAAGGAGTTGGATACAACACCATCAAGAACAAATTGCCCCCTACTATTGAGGTGGCGTGTCATAACGGCCCAGACAGCGCCACACTTTCCGGCCCTCGCGAAGACATGGAGAAATTCGTTGCAGAACTACAAGCACAAGGAACATTTGCCCGATTGGTGAACGTTTCCAATATCGCATATCACAGCCAGTACATTAAACCGGCTGCGCCCTATGTTCTCAAGTATCTGAAAGAAATTATCCGCACACCAGTTAAAAGATCATCCAAGTGGATTTCTACATCTAATCTGGAAGAGAACTGGAACACCGAGCTGGCCCTACATTCTTCAGCAGAATACCATACGAACAATTTGCTCAGCTCCGTATATTTCGAAGAGGGGTTGAAACATATTCCAAAAGATGCCATTCTGATTGAAATTGCTCCCCATGGTCTGTTGCAAGCCATATTGAAGAGATCAGTGAAATCTGGTTGTACCAACATTCCACTTACTCAAAGAGGTTCGAAGAGTGCTGTCGAATTTTTGTTAACAGCATTAGGAAAGTGAGTATAGATTTAATGTTTTCAATGCAGGTGTCCGACTGGATACACTCACAATCGCATATTAGCATATTAAGTATAAATAAAAAATGGAGGTATTGAAAATATGTCAAAGTCTATTCATTAACTACTAAGAGAATTATTAATTTATTTTTGAATTCCCTATTTCTTTTTCATCATTTTTGGAAATCGCTACAGTTGCATCAGAGTTTTTTATTTTTTGGTTTCAACATATTCTTAAGTTGAAGAACCTGAAAATTGCTTTTCACAGTAAAATAATAAACGTATGATCAGAACAAATTAAACTAAGGTTGTAATGAATCCATGTTTATTTACAATTTTAGAATGTACTTGGCGGGTATGGATCTTTCCATTGCAAACATTTACCCACGCGTACAGTATCCAGTTGGAAGAGGTACCCACTCATTGGCTTCGCTGGTGCATTGGAATCACACTGAAATGTGGAGAACTGGTCTAGAAGACAAGCTTCATTCCTTATTCAGTATTATCGATTTGCAAGTGACGCTTAACAGTGAAGAATTTCGTGAATGCGTTGGCCATCAACTGGATGACGATATTATATTACCCTGCAGTTTTTACTTGGTAAGTGTGATAAATTTCAATTTTCAATTCCAAGTTTCAGCTAAAAATACTAGATTATTATTATTTTTCCAGAATATTGCCTATCAGATGGTTGCAAACATCAGCACTGAACGCAAAGAAATCGTTTTTGAGAATTTGCATTTCAAAAAAACACTCACCATCCCCAAAATTGGTATGTCCGGATAAATTTCTATTAACTCCGTCCCATCAGTGTATTAATATGATAGGGTCTGTTCCACTACATGGAATGGTTCAAAAGGGATCTGGCGAATTTGAAATCTCTTCGAACAAGGATATTATTGTTACCGGAAGGATGACTTTCCCACAAGCAAACGAAAAATTCATGGTAGAGCCAAACAACATAAAAATTGATGGAGATCACGTTAAACTTTTGGGAAGTGATGTTTATAGTGAATTGCAACATCGAGGTCATAAATATTCGGGCTTGTTCAAGTCCATTAAAAGCTTGGTTTTATCTGAAGAAGGTTCTTCTACTTCTATTCAATGGAACAATAAGTGGACAATGTTTTTGGAAGCTATGATCCAGCAACATCTGTTTCAAGTAATTATATTTTCCATTACTTCAATTTATAATTTTTGGTGTTTTTTACTTAAAATTTTAAATATTTGATAGACATATTTATATTATTCGGAAGCAGTGAAGACAAATTGGGTGGTTCTAAATTATGAAACGTGTTTTTACAGGACAGTCCAAGTGGACTACAAATATTTTAAGCGTGCATTTCCTGGGTCAAAACGTTATTAGACACTGATAATTAAAGCTTATCAAAAGAAGATTTTCTACAATAATTTGAAGTAAACACGAACAAAAATAATTTTAACATGGAATAACTTTTTTATAAGCTTTAAAAACATGGACTTACCCTACGATATGGAACATTCATTTTCGTTTATCAGATTTTCAAGTAAGCTGGTTTGAGACCATTCTAGTTTCTTTGAAGAGCTGAAGCAACTCAATCATGATAATTAGAAATTGCAATCTCGTATTTTAACAAACAATGTTTGAAATTTTCATCTTGCTTGCTGCAATGCTCATCTTAAGCTAATACTTTCTGGATTGAACATTTACTTGCTATACATACTTCTTTACTTGGTTTTATAGAAAATAAATTTTTTGCTCTTTGTTAAATTTTGGTGGAGTATTTTGGCAGCCCAAACATTTAAAATTTTGCGAAGTAAATCAAGAGTAAGATTATATCAAGTTTAGCATTTTCTAAATTAAAAATTGATAACATTTTAATATTTTTGGCGGCGCTTTCTAATGCATTTTTGCAGATTATCTAATCTAATCTAATAAGAAATATTCCCTTATATTCACTAACTTAAACTGCAAGCGGTAACGTTGTTTTTCAGTCTAACTGCCAAAATGCTTTTAACTCTTGCATTGTGATTTCATTTTATGGTTTTATTATTCAAGCAACCCTGTCTTTATTCCAACTCTCCACAAAATATGTTTTACAGTAGACTTAAGTATATTAAGAAAATAATAAATTGTTGCAGTGTGGTGAACGGGATCAAGATATATTTGTCCCCAAAACTATCCAGAAGGTTTGCATAGATCAACAGCTTTTACCCAGTGAGAAAATTGATCTGAAGGTAGATTACATCTATGCAACCAAAATACTTTCAACTGAGGGCTTGCAACTCATCGGCATGGAAGCTGTTACTCTCGAAAGAGAAACAAAGAAAATGTACATCGATTCCGTAGAGTATGTGCCCTTAAATAACTCAGAGTACCCTGTAAGTATTCATGCTTCTATCGAGATGGGATCCTGATCCTTTAACGAGAAGTAAACAGTTTTTATTTTTTTTCCTTCGTGTAAAGGGGATTACCGCTAATGTTACTATCAAGGTGTCTCCTAATGTTTTGCCGTCGCGCTTTTACCTTGCAGTCGCTTTCCTCGAACTATGAAATCAGATTTAAGTGATTTATCTTTTCTGCTCCGTCTCTGTATGTCAAATATTTTTGCTCATACTGTTTCCACTTTACATTTTTTCCGTTTCACCTTTCGTACAGGATTTCCATTCTTATTTTCTAATTTTCTAATAGTGACACGCGACTTCTTATTTTTTGGCCTCGGGCTTTCGAATTCTTTTATGGAGGTTGAAGATAGAGTTCTTGTATATTTCTTACTTTGAAATATTTGTGTTTTTTATTGTTATTTTGCTCTGGATACCAGTGGATGATATTTGTAGTATGTTTTTAAATTTTCCTAGATTTTCTGTGTTTCAAATTAAGCTGTTTTGGCCCTTCTTCTATGAATTGAGGCATTTGCGTCGCTATCAACTTGTCCGGATCTCTCAATTGTCGTATTTTCGACAGTGTTTGCTATGCTCCTTATCACCTAGATTTCATTTAATTGGTTAGCTGCATTGCAATAATGAGCAAAATATTTGTTACATATTTTTCGAGAATATAAATCTCAGGAGGTTTTCTTAGCGTTATTGTTTCTTTTCGCAGCCTAAATAGCAATAAATAACTTCAAGTTTTCAGTTATTATTTTTTTTACCTATAGAATTGTAGCAGATGGAGGAAAATCATTTCTACAAGCTGAAGGGGAAATGTGGAGTAAACCTTCTCTCATGCGTTTATTATATTACTTATAATAAGACCCACTATCTGTCTCCTAGCAGCTTCTAACATAATCAGTTCATACAATTTTCTCCCATTCCATACTGCGGCTTCCCTTGCTATAATGCATTCTTCTTTTTGGAGTTGTGAAGACCCCTGGATGAGGAACTGATTTATAGGTTTTGTCTTCAACGGGGAATATTTCAAGTGCTTTCTCATCCTCACTAGTTTTCTTGTGGTATCGTTACTGATTTCAAATTAAGCGTTTTTTGTTGTCCGATAATTAAAACATGGAAGCAATTTTTTCGCGGCTTAAGCGGACAAATAATTTTTGGAATAAGAAAAAATCCCATTCATATTACTGATTTCAACATCTTCTGATCAGCGAATTAATTGCTAATATTTAATTTTCACGTTGTAGTTATTACAATTAATCATATTCATGCGAGTTCATAAGCGATCGATTTGTGTACTTTGCGATTTTTCAGAGGATGGAAACGGGTATTTGCATGGCACTGGAGCTGATGTTGGCGAACTTTTCCGATCAGTACATTTCGAATGTTATGATTACGGAACTTGCAAGCACAAACCCTCTTTTGCAATATATTAATTCGGCATTGAATCAATACACCAAACTAAATGTAAGTGTTTGTCAATGATACAATGCAGTATTTAAAAACTCGAACTTTGCAGCCCAATATTGTGACTGTAAGTGATGCTAGGCAAGTAGTCGTTCAGACAGCGTATCCCTTATTAATAATCAACAACGGACCAATTAGTGCGGAATTGGCTAAAATTGTCTCTTCCTCTCATGCATTCTTGTTGGCAAAGATGGATAAAAATATTTTATCTCACCCAGATGTTATTGAAGTTGCTAACTTTACCCATCAGGGGCAACAATATTCGATTTTAAGAAAGGTGTTATTTAATAACAATTTACTTGTATCCTCTAACTAAACTGATGTGAATTTTAGGCCATAGAACCTGAAGTAATCATTGTCAATGTGAAAGGGGATGTTTTGAGTTTAAACGACCTAAAGCGTTCTTCTGTTCCCTGGGTAACAGAGCTTTTCAAAGCGGTGGAAAATGTTTCATCCCCAAATAAAAGAGTGTTTCTCTCAACATCCTTAATTCCTTTAGAGGGATTTAACAATTTCTTGCAGGAGCTAAAATCACACAACAATATGGACAAAGTAAGAGTCCTGGTGAATTTGGACAAAAATGCAAATGTGGACTTGAAGGCCCTTTACTCCAAAGATTTAATTTTGTCTATTGTGAAGGACGGAGCCATGAACGCATATCTTTCGATTCCAGTGACATTTAAAGAAAACATTTTTAACGATTCAACGGCAAACAACGTTGTTAACAATAAGACCATCAGTTATTTAGGGCTCAATTTGAGGGACGAGACCATTAATACAGGAACTGAAAAACCACAGGAATTAGGTATGGACAATAAACTTGTTATTTTAAAAGCTTCCTTTTCTAAAAAGAAATTCTTGAGTTCTCAGTGGACTAAAAACGCAAATACCGATTATATATTATAATAATCGATTATATTTGTACTGTCGTAACATAACATATTTTAAATCGTAGCATAAAGTGTTTCTAATACCAATGTGAAAAACTTAAATGCAAACGTACAGACTTATTACTTTTCATCGTGACATAGGTAGGTACTAGGTATTTTTAAAGCAAAGAGATCAATTAACTTTTGGAAGATTTTTTGGCGAAAATGCAAAAATACGCATTTTCGTTCTATAAATGATAATATATCCGTAAGGTAAGGTTTTTTAAAGTAAATTGATATATTTTCATTCAGGTTCTATTCCAATTTTTCAACTAAATATTCTGGCAATGATTTGCTTATTTGATTTCCGAAGTCTTATTAAAATTGTCAGAAGTTTATTTCCTTGTTATTCGTTAATGCTTAATATATTATAATTATAATTATAACCATTTCTCAATTCACCCGTAAAGGTGCATTTTTGAGCTATCTTTTATAAGGCAAACTAGGGTTATTTTCGCAGCAGAATACGTGGTTAAAACAATGCCCTTTGGTCATGAAACTCCTTGTATTTGCCAAATAAACAGTCTAACTTTTGCAAAAACTTAAATAACGAAATGGAAATTATGGATATCTAATCAAGCAACTTATAAAGCAGAAAAATATCCGGTGCAGATTATTCAAGTAATATTTTAAACTTGAATTCAAAATTATTATAATTAAATGTTTTTAAATCTCCTGTCAAAGGAAATATATTGTTGTTTCCTAAATAAACAATGATACATTTTAGATGCATTTCGCAACGTATGTCTATGTCTTTAAAAGAAATATAATCAAATTTATGGTAAAAACGTTTTAATATTTAGTTTGTTTTAATAAAATATGTTTTCTAAAATTTATTAGAAGCTAGAATTTGTATTTGAAGGCACAGAATATAAAAAAATATTTTAAAATTGCGTTTTTAATTAATTGAAAACTGTGAGATTTCGGAAAGGGAATATATTTCAAAAATTAATAAATTTAATATATTTTTATCATTTATCTAAAATACATATTAGAAAACAATTCAAAATTTTTAGTAACCTCTTTCTTTACTATATATTATTTTCGATTTATATTGTATTTTAGATCGTATCATTGCATTGTAATGTCGACCGTAACAATGAAGAATTCTAAATTTTAAAGTGGATGGATTTATGTCAAATCAAATCAAAATATGCTTTATTGCCACAGAAAAAATTATGAATTTTAAGGAAAAAGGGAGTTTTTAATTTATTGAATGACGACTTTCTTTGTTCATTTGTTATTGTTGCTATCTGAAAGAGGAATTTTTGCAATTCTCATTTTACTCGTGTAGGTAACATCGATTATTCGGGTACTCTAAACAATGGTTCTGGAATCATGGGCCTAGCTACTTTAGACAAAGATACTTGCACTTTGGTACCGGATCCAATTCTGAACTGGCCTATTCCGCAAAACTGGAGCTTGGAGGACGCTGCAACTGTGCCCTATGCATTTTCTGCTGTAAGAAGAATGGCTGAGAAGCAATGTCTAGTATTAAAATATAAAATTTCCAGGCTTTTCACGCTTTGTGTATCAAAGGAGAATTGAAATCCGGAAATACTGTGCTGATCCATGCTGCGTGTTCACCGATTGGCATGGCTGCTATTGCAATAGCTCATCAATATGCATGCACTATTTATGCAACTGTATCTACAGATCAACAACGAGAGTACATTAAAAAGAAATTTAGAACTGTTCGTACCATAAAAGTATCATTTATCCCTAGGAATCTTGTAATAAGAACCAAATTTTTAGCTATCTGATCGGCAACTCTTTAGTTCCGACAATCAGACTTTTGAGCCACACCTGCTGATGGCTACTGGAGGCCGAGGAGCAGATATAATTCTCAATTGCGTTTCGGGAAGTTTATTGCAAGCCTCACTAGCGTGCATTGCGGATTTCGGCAAATTTTTGCAAATAGGTAATTCCAAAAAAAGGAAATTATTTCCTGCAGACAAACGATTTGTTTATGTTTCAGGAAAATATGACTTGGAAGAAAACAACAGCATAGGTATGTTTCCCTTCTTGCGCAACGTTTCGTTTTACGCAGTTGACTTGAACATTGCGGCTCAAGAAGATGAAGTTAAGGAAAATATTAAGAAACTAATCGAAGGTGCAATTGAAAATCGTGTGGTCACACCGATTTGGCGAATCGTCTATAATAATCAAGACGTGGGAACAATATTGAAGTACGTAGCAGGAAATTTCCTTGTATTTTGTTGATTATTGTTGTTGAAATCCGTAGAAGTAGTTGATGAATTTGTATTATTATAATCTTTTTCGGCAGGTTTATTAATAAAAAACATTATGCAATTTCAGCAATATCAAGAAAGCCAGTAATATAGGAAAAGCCCTTTTAAACCTAGAAAACAATGTTCCTCTTAGCAAGCTGAATGTTAAAAGACCGAATCAGTTTATTTGCCACACCAAGAGCTCATACTGGATATATGGTAAGGCCGAATTAATTACATATTTAATGAAATGTGTTTATTAAGCAAATAATGAGCTTTCTTGCATTACTAGCAAGACCAGTTGATTCAAATGATTACTTTAATACGTAATAGAGTCCAATCCGAAACGAAAGTCTCAACGGCACTTCGTCCAAGAAGTGGCATGTCAATCGTGAAAAGTTCTTTTAAATGGTGGGCAGAATAAATTTTATATTTATTCTAAAGGGCTCGAAAAGCTTTCGGTACTATTTTGAACGAACTGGTCAACGAGTTCAGTTAAACGATCTTAAAATGAAAAAACTGCACAGGGGAACCATTTTCAAAATCATATTTAACTTGAGCCTGAAATAGGAAACTTTCAAGTTTGCGTCAAATATGATAAAATATACAGCATCCTACTTAAAAATATACTGAAAACATTCGCTTGCTTAAAGTCGTAAAGCATTGTATTCCACGTAAAATAATGCTTTGGAAAAAGTGCAGAATTCTGCAAGAGACGCTGTCTGTATCTCTGAAACTGTTAGATATATTGATACTGTGAAATACATTTTTAGTCATCATTTTTGTCATAAATGGAGACTCAAACACCCATATCAGATTTCTTTATCTGCTACACAAATAGAACGTGAAAAGGAATATGTCAGATTTGGCTCACCCTCTACATTTCTGTTCTAGCTTAGCTTAATATGATTCTTTAACTTTGCTTATAAAATACGGAAACGTTATTTTCTTTTCACTGTTTCATTACGTTTCAAGCAGAGGATATGTGAAGAATTTAAATAGGGTTTGTGCAATTACAGAAACAACTTACCTTACTTACTTACCACGGATTCACAAAACAATTCTAACACTTTTGCTCGGGCAAAGTTTTGCATTTTCCTGCTATAAAATTTTCTTAGGAACACACTAACCCCGTAATTTAGATTGTGCTGATTTTGTTTACTTTTAATCGCAGTGTTTTACTGTTAATGGAAACTTATTATGCTCAGACTCTTTTAAATTGCTATCTGTGTAACCAGGCTAGCAAATTTCATTTAAATTGGTTCATTGTAGTTTGGTGCTTTTTGCATACTCTCAAAGTTATCTTGTACAGAAAGTAGAGAAACATAATGCGTTTTATTGATTTCGCATTATAATATGCATATCTTATAGATCGTTCTGCAGATGTGCTATTTTTCAGTTATCCTTTTGACTCAAACATATACAGTGTTCTTGCTTAAGTTAGCATGGTCATGGGCAACTTATCATCAATTTTACGAAAAAAGTTATGTTATATCTTCTGAAGCTTAAAATTGAATCGGCAGATATTACCTTTTTGCTTTACGAATGGTGTTTATCATAAATTATGGAGTTTACGCAAGAGTAAAGTACATCAGCTTTTAATAATATGAAAAATGGCTTATAATAAAAGTTGACCAGAACTAAAAACTACATTCGAACATGCAATAACATCCTGCTTCTTAATTTTTTTCTTATTTTATCTACAACTTTAATGCAAATGTACTTAAGTGTAGTTACGTGAACTCTTTGACTGCGAACTGTTATTTACTCTTTTGAGAGAACGAATTCCAAGATTTTCTTGAAAAAGCTTCCTTCCTTGAACTTCAAGAAATATGGTTCCAACAGAACAATGTTCTATGTCACAGTAGGGTAGATGTAAGGCAAAAATTTGAAAATCGTTATAACGGAAGAGTTATACATCGGTATTCAAAAATGCTTCGGCCCCCTCGGTATACAGATTTGATGCCACTCGATTTTTTCTCGCGGAGTTAACTTAAGGCAAAAGCTGCATCTTTAAACACCATACACAGGTGTTGCTTATTTGGAAAGAATCATTACAGAATCGGTTCAAAGTACCTACTCCGGTTATGGTTAGAAGAATATTGAAAAACTTTTCTACTAGAACAATTTCCTGTATTGACAGAGAAGGCGAATATGTTGAGGCATTAGCGAAGTGGGCGAGCTAATAATATTCGTTAACATTATTACAACTGAATTAATTATTATGTTAATTAATTATTAACATGTTACAAGACAGACATTACATAATTGAAATATCATCAAGAGTTAAATAAAAAAAACAGACTACCGTTTATTATTGACTTTTTTTTTGTGGAAGGAAATACCAAATAGAAAAGATAAATGATTGATATCGGTAGTAAAGTTTACAAAAAAATAGGTAGCAGACTGTAATTGTATATTTGAATATAATTCTTTAGTTTAGATCAACTTTTTTTAATAACAATTTTCAATAATATGTATTAATATATTCATAACAATGTCAAAAATAAAAGTACTTTACTTCTATGCACCAACTTGTGTTGATAAAGGGCGGGAGGCCGGGACCGATTGCCGCAAAATATCCGTTTTATTCAAAGCTTATTAAAAAAACTTCTTCGTTATTTAGAATTTTAGTGATTTTTCTCGCCGTACTGTGGGGAAAATTTTCGTAATGCCGGTGGTAATTTGTCGCGAATAAACTGAATCTGATTATTTTGTCTTAACTAATTCTAATTCTTAAACAAAAAAGAATCACAGTTTAGTACGATTCCTGTTTGTGCAACTTTTATGAGCTCAGAATTTGCACATGACGCATTGCAACCAGCCTGTAATTGAGGAACTGTGAGGTGTATGACACACGACACACATTGTTTCTTCATCAGTGAGATATTCACCATCTTTGAGGATGAGTTTTTGAGCTTTCCCAAGCCAAGCAAGTTTCTACGTCAGGAGGTAAAGCAATTGGTGTTTTTTTATAGCCGAACACGATTTGTGTTTGTCCGAGTGCAAGCTCCGAGTCAGTGACTTTTTTGCAAACGTTTTCTAGGACTTTGCAATAAACATCAAATTCTTCTGCCGATTTTGTTATAGAAAGTTGAAATTCTCTCAATTAAACTGCCCTTGCAGCTGCCACCATAGTGTGTGGATCGGAGGGGGCACGATCCGATTTTCTTCTATATAATATATTATTTTTATGTTATATATATATTTCTGCTATATAAATGGCAAGGTGTATTTAAAGTCTGCGGACAAATTGTTGCATCGGGGAAAGATATCGCGTTGAGATAACTTGCCCCGCAAATAATGCGACAAGTAGCTCCAACCAGGTAGTTCTAATAGGAAAACCAGGAAATTAGAACACGCAGCACTTTTATAAAGAAACTTTTTCTCGAAAAATTAATAGAAAAAAAGTTTTCCATATGTTGCCATCTAAAGAAGAAGCACTATATAAAACGAGTTTCAACCATTTTTACTTAATTCCAGGTGGAACTATTGAACAATGGGCTGATATTACTGAATGGTTAGTTCTAAGAGGAGCCAAGAAAGTTGTAGTTTCCGCCGATTGCAAAGCACAGTCAAACTGCATTAATAGACGATTATCGTTGCTACAGACCTATTTCAACTGTGACATCATTTTTGCTCCAAATAAAGCTCATACTAAGGAAGGAGCAGGCGAACTTTTGTCAGAAGTACGTTTCTTGGGTCCCATACACGCTGTGTTCGTACTGCCTCAGATCAAAACTAGTTCGGTTTCCAAAGTCAGCGACATAAAGACCGTGCAGTACATTGACAACGCTTTAAGACTGACTGCTCCAAAGGCGCTGTTTGTCAACTTTATTAACACTGCTTCTGGTGTTTGCCAATTGCGAAGTGATTCGGGATACCCAACGTTTAATATCCAGTGGCTGAAGGAGTTGGAGTTTGGAGACGTCCTATCTGGATTGGACAATATTCTTTCGCTCCGAGTAAAGAATATTCTGATTAACAATGATAAAGTGAGTGAATCCAAGCAGGAAAGTACTCAGGCGCTGTTTAAAAGTAAGTAAAAAAATGTGGGTTGCTCTACAGGGTGCTCCTCAACTAACGTATTTTCTAAACATCAAATATGTACTTAGTTCAAGTCGTCTCACCCAGATCTTGCACCGTTTCCGAGATATTTTACTTTCAAACCTCTAGTGATTTTTTCAACTAACTGAAATTCGATTCCTAATATGTATTGTAAATTAATATTATAAATTTAAATTAGTTAAAATATAAATATTTTAACTTTTAGTAATAAATTGAATTAATTTAAAATGCCCTGACATAAATTAATCTCATAATAAGAATTAAGTTCAGTTTCTTCACCGATATCGAATAATTGCAAGATGGTTGATTTTCTTGGGAATTTGGCCTGGTCAGTGGTGAAGAGAAAAAAGAAAGTCAGTGGTGAAAGGAAGAAAGAAAGTATTTTAGCTACCAAGCTTTCGGCAATTTATTTTCGCCTTCCTCAGGGTGCTAATGGTTTGTCCATAAGAATGCTGGGAATCCTCCAGAATATTCTATCATTTTTTGTACAGCTTGATGAAATATTTAATCTTTCAGTCACATTGTTTGGTTTCAATTTATTTGTCTTGGATTAATGTGTAAATAATACTATACAAAAACATGTTGATCGTGAATAAATGTTTTGTGTCATCGAAGACAAATAAATTAAAACCAAACAATGTGACTGAAAGAATAAATATTTCATCAAGCTGTACAAAAAATGATATTCTGGAGGATTCCCTGCCTCCTTATGGACAAACAATTAGCACCCTGAGGAAGGCGACAATAAATTGCCGTTATAAATTAATAGTCCGTTGAAAGACCCATTATGTTGAGGTTTTTTTAGTTTTTTTTTTCTTGAATGTGCTACTTCAAACGCAATTTAAAATTTATGTTCACAAAAATGATTAGATGCCATGAACGCATACAATTTTCAGAACTTGCTCAAATGCTTCCCAGTTCAGCAAAGGAACTAAGTGCTCAAGTGAAAGAAGCTCCAGAGGAACCAGAAATAATTCAATTGGTCACTGAAGGTCCTCAAGAACTTCGCGAATTGATTCCACTATTTATCATTCCCGGTCTAAGCACCGAAAATGAAATAGAAGAACTAGCTAGGTTCCTGTTGTTGCCCACCTTCTGTGCGGTTTTGCCAAGTACTCCCATGAGCATCAAGGAACTAGCTGAGAACTACGCAGCCGTAAGTATAAGACTAATGTGATTTTGATTTTTTCATAAAAATATATATTTTTTAGCAAATTCGTTCGATTTGGCCCGAGGGTCCGTTTAATTTGGTAGGAATCTCTTGGGGAGGTGTTCTTGCCACGGAGATAGCCAACATTTTGAATAAGCATTCAAAGGTGTACCTGTACTTTATAGATAGTGCACCTTCAACTTTACAATCAGCCATCCATCACTTGGGCGAACGGACTGAGATGGAGGTTAATCTGTTGACTAGAATCTTCGTTAACAATGATGCACAGGTATGCAATTAACTGAGTTGAGCATGACTTGGTATATTTGGAGCTGTTAGTTTTCTCATCTCAAGTGTTTTTCAGTTCCTCAAAAAGTTGCAGTCTGCTAAGGATTGGAACGCAAGAATCGCATGCGTTTTGAGCTCCTATGAAGCCGATGTAGAGGATAAAAAAGCTTTGGAAGTGGGTTTGTTGCTACTTCGTAATAGACTACAGGATGTGATGCTGTTCCGACCGGATGGTGAATTGATTAGTGGCACCAGTCACTTAATTCGACCGAGCGATTGTAGTCAGTACGATAATTGTGACTTAACCCTGGTGAGTAGATTAGCTCAAGGAAGCTGTGTACCTTTTTCTTTCTGCGCACTCGCTTAGTCCCTATTGGTATATTTTCACAATTCTGGCATATAAAAGAGAATATCAATGATCAGAAGGCTCACGTAGTTAATGGATCGTAAATGTTAAGCATCTTGTAAAATAAAACAAGATACGAGTAACTGCTATCTTACACCATTCACCAGTTGAATTATTTTAAGTAAGAATGGGTTCCCCAAAACCACAGGTTTTACTTGTGAATTTGCTATCTCGTGATTTTTTCTCATGAATTTTTGGCATGAGCTAGTTTCTAAACTCATGCAGCGTATATGTTTCCTAAAATTTATTTCATTAATATATTGATATACAAGGAATACCTAGATTTGTACCTAATTGCTGATTATGTTTTAGTATCTGAAGCAAATTCCGTTGATTCGTCTGGTCAATGGGGATCACCGCACTATCATCAAAAACAAAGACACAGCGGAATATATCAACGAAACTTTCCAGTTAATTTAATTTATTTTATGGGTTTTGTCAATGTAACGGAATAAACTGTTATGGGTTTTGCCTATTGATGCAATTTTATTACTATGAATTCCATTTTTTTTGTTTGGAGCTTGCCGGAGCAGAAACTGATAGATTCACCTTATCGCTTCTTTTTCATCTATATTTTTTAATCTCCTTAAACAAATACCACCAGCTACTGTAGGGATATTAAGCTAACTATTGATTTTTCTGATACGCTAAAACAACTTTTGGATATTTTGTTTTATAATAGTACAATATGCATTTAAAGCAAGTATACAAGTTTGTAGTTGTATAACAATCAATAGCTCATTAATTCATTTTTTAGCTCGAGCTGAGTTCTTTTTTATAAGAAAAAGTTGAGAAAATAAAGATAAGTTCTTAGAATTGATCACGCCATTAGGTTGCAGTAGTTCTACCCTTTCATTTAGTATTCCCCATTCGAAAAATGAGGCTAATTGTATGAGAGGATACAAGTTTGTTCTGAAAACCTAGTGGGGGGAACATATTCTGTAATAAAGCCAATAAATTGTCACAATGAAATAGAAATTGCGGATTCTGTGAGGTCAGATTCAACTGTGTTGTGTTATCTAAAATTATATTTCAACCTCCTATTGGTTCTATTTGCAAAAATTTAGATTTGTTTGTATCTCTTTTTGCATTTATTTAAGGCTCGTATACAAATCAGAATCAGCTGATCTTAGAGGCCATTAAAACAGTCCCCTTCTGCCAATCCATTTATTCAGGAATCTCTAGTTTAACCATTGTTGGACCGGAAGAAACTAATGAGTAGGAGCACCGTCCTGCTGGAATGTTAAAAAATCCGCAAATAATGTGTGTTCGCAGTAGAACAGCCATATTTTACATAAGAAAGCTTGTGAGGAATACCTGACCATTTAAAGTTGAAAAACTGAGCGAAAGAAAATTTAAAATTGATAAATCTGAGCAATCCCTAGTTAGAGTTCAAGAAGCGTTCAATTTAGAGTGCAATTCACAGCAGAAAAACATTAATAATTGAAGGTGTGTTCGCAGCAGAAGAAGCTTAATTTACATAATAAAGCAGTCTACTGTGGACAATTTGACTAGCTAACATTGAGCAAAAAAGACTTAAAACTCGAACTGCTCTTATTGATAATATGTACAATAACCGTTTAATTTCGCGTTTAATTCACGGAAATAATAAATAATTAAGTATCTGAATTTCGATAATAAAAAGTGACTTTCGTTGTAGATTATCCCATTAATAACACTTTTTCTAAGCGATATTTCTTTCAAAAATGTCTTTTTCAACAACCTTCCGATGTTGGAAAATTCGCTATTCTTCGCTACTTCGGTGGAAACAGTTTGAAGCCGAAATATTATGATTGAAATTATTGAAAATGTATTAACGGAAATCCAGCAATAAACCGAACTAACTAAAACCAACCAATACTAATCAACCCAAAACTAATAAAAAATAACCCAAATATTTACATCTACATAATCTCTACTAAATACTGTAATTTACATGTGACCACATGCATTAAAATGTTCATTTCCTGTTGATATCGCAATTTTGTTTCTGGACGTAAAAACTTAGTTTTTAAAAAACGTTTATTTTTACAGACCAAAAATAGATTCTTTCAACAGCGAACTAACTACCTTAACTGCTAACTTAAGACTAATTTCCTCATGCCCAATGCACAGCTTATATAGTAATTAATTGCTGCATCGACATTTATTGAGTGAAATACACAGTGGTCTGCGTAAGTGGTCATATAACTGCGCACTGTGTCGCGGATTGTGTAAACAAGTTATTTTATATAGTGAAGAACTGAAGAACCGTGAACTTTCGAGCGCCAAAAATTGGTTGAAAAGGGCATTTTTGGAAGAAACGCCGCTAAGAAAAAGTTTTACTTAAGGGAACTTACAGTAAAAGTACATTTATTTCATCAAAATCCAAAAGAATTCAAACTAGCTTATTTGCAAGAAAAACACCATGACACCAACAAATTGTCTAACAGGACCATAAAAAGTGTAGTTCACAGCAGAACACACTCGCTTTATATTAACATTTTAAATTTTCAAGTGAAAAGTTTCCACAGTAGAAAATCTAGCAAGTTAAAGCTGATTAAATCAGAGCAAAATATTTGGGCTTTGATATATCGAACGATCCCTATGAAAAATACAAAATCCTATTAAATTATAGTGAAGTTAACAGAGGAAACACCTATAACAACGCAAACGTTCTTACGTGATAATAAAAGTGCAGTGTACAGCAGAACACACTCACGTTATATTTACATTTTAAAGATTCCCTGGCTAGTTAAAGTTGAAACACTGAGTGAAAATTATTTTCAATTCGAAAAATCAACCCGAATTATTGATTACCCAAAAACCGTTTGAATTAGGGTATAAATCACAGACGTAAGCCGTTAAAAAATAAGAAACATTACCTAAAGCGACAAAAAAATTGTGCGAGTTCGTATTAGAACAGAAAAGTCTCTTGAGGAAAACCTCATTCGCAAACGTATTAAATCTGACTTAAAATTTGAAAATTAAACAACCCTAGCCAGAATCTTTCCCGTCGTTGCTCGTCTAATAAATATGACAAGCAATTATACAATAAAACACAAGTCAACAACATGGGACTAAAAGTTACTACATCTACATGGCAACTAGGGAATAATGCCAAAAACAATAAATAGCAACAAAAATGAAATTAGTCGGACGGATCCCAGTCCCTGAAAATCCCTACCACGAATTGTTTAGCAAAAACGAATTTGTTTGAATTTTTAATTTTGGAAAAACAGCCCGAATTCTAAATGGTTTGCCCAGGATCACACGCAACGTTTTACGGTGCTATCCTCCAATAATGCAATAAATAGCAATAAACAATCAAAAATGCAATTATTCGGACGGATCCCAGCCCCTGAAAATCCCTACCTCGAATCGTTTAGCCAAAAATAATTTGCTAAAATATTTTAATTTGGAAGAACAGTCCGAAATATCCATGGTTTGATCAGGATCATACGCAACGTTTTAAAGTGGTATCCTCTTATACACGCCCCTGCTCTGTATCCATAAGGTTGTGAATCACCCTGTAGATGTGGGCATTGTTCAGTAATTACTGATAATACGGATTCTTTTATTTTTTTAAAATAATATATTTGAAGTCATGTTAGTTTTCTTTACTATTGTAGTTGCCTATGGGAAATGTTAATTAAACAGTGTAATTTAGGAGGGAATTGATGTCTTAAGGATACGTATCAGATTCACAATCAGTCAAGATAAGCAAAATAATTTCAACCCAGAAAAGTTTAAATATTATTGGCAAAATGAGAAGATAATCCCCCCTGGAAGAAAAGACGTGGTCGATCATCCAAATTTAAGTGGCTTCGTCCAACGCACAATTTTTATTTTTTTTTATTAGTTTGTTATAGCAATCTAGTTTACATCAATAAGCTACTTTTCTTTAACCTAAACTACTAGATGTACATTTGCAAAGTGTTATCCTATGATATAACTTCGGCTTTGTCATTGGAGAGTCACTATTTTAATGTGTACATATATAAGCATATTTCTAGTTCATAGGGTTTCACTCGATTTAGTCTTCTTGTTAAGCCCTCATTGTTCAAGAGCTGGATGGCCTCAACGTTGATGTGATTTTGTAGTCTTTGTTCATGACTTTTTGCACAATTTTTTATTACATTGTCCACTGTTTGCACATTTAGGTCTTTATGGAGGTTGTCATTCCGGATGTACCATGGCGCACCTAGGATGCCGCGTAGAACTTTATTTTGATAACGTTGTATAATATTTCTGTTGCTTTGGCTGGTACAACCCCAGAGTTGACTACCATAACTCCACACCGGCTTGAGGATTTGGTGATACAGCAAGAGCTTATTATACACTGACAGGGCAGAATTACGACCCAATAGCCAGTACATTTTACGGTATTTTAAATTTAATTCTTCTTGTTTTTTCTTGACATGGGCCTTCCACTTAAGTTCAGCATCCAGCCTCATGCCAAGATATTGTACCGTGGATGGCCGAGTATCAAACTCTTTCTTCAGCTTACAACTTTTATTCCACTCAGTATCGCTTTAAATGCGGAACAGGAACAAACTAACTTCAAAATTACCGTCAATTTCACAAACAATAACAATAACAGACGGAAAGCTCGGTCTTCCGACTCGCGGGTTTAACCTTCTTCTGCACTCCGTCGCTGCTGTCACTTCACCTCCCCTGTCTGGATCTCGTCGTCGCTTATATAATTTCCTCCAGGTAATGCAGATGGTTCTCGAAATCTCCAGAACAGGTGCGAAACTTCCCGCTTGTCAGTGTCATATTTGACAGTAAATGGGGCGCAAATGGGGCTCCCATTTACTGAAATACCATGAATTTTGATCCCTCCATTTCAAACGTGCGTACCCCTGGCCATTTCCGTTACAATATTTAGCTGTATTTTGGTATGGAACAATTTGATTGTTGATCTTAACTGGTTTGTATTCAACTTTCTTATTGGTGAACTCAATGTGGACAGATTTCGATTCATTCAATTTAATTCGCCATTTTTTAGTCCAGCGCTCTATGTCATCTATGGCGGTTTGTAGTTTTTTTACTGTGGACTCGGTATTGTTGTCTCCAACTGCCATTATAGCAGTATCATCTGCAAATGTGGCAACCATATTTTGTTCGGAAGTAGGAAGGTCACTGGTGTACAGGAGATAAAGCAAAGGTCCCAGTACACTACCCTGCGGCACACCTGCTTGTATTTTCTTTAATTCCGCGTATTCATCCCCTTGCTTTATCCGGAAATACCTTTCAGTTATGTATGACAGTAGCAGCGTTGAATATTGGATAGGTAGGAACACTTGAAGTTTGTGTCCCAAGCCTTCATGCCAGACCCTGTCGAAGGCCTGGGCAACGTCCAAGAATATTGTAGAGCACACTTTTTTCCTCTAATATTTTCTCGATAACACTCATTATTCGATGATCCTGGTCAATTGTGGAGTGCTGACTCTGGAACCCAAATTGGTGTGGCGGGATGAGGTTTTTTCTTTC